AACTTAAAAGACTGCTGGTGGTTTCCAGCTCCATCTGTTCACATTTTTCAACTGTCGTTTTAATGCATCTTACCACCACGCCGGCTCTACCACTCTTAAATCAGTCAATTCAAAGTTGCAGCATTCAAGCCAGAACCATTTGTACTGGTGCCTGAGGTTGCCTCCAACAAATTCCAGAGCAGGGCACAAGGATGGTGGGGTCAGATGTTCTTGCAGCAGGACTTCTTCTCTGTGTCTTCTGCTTTAGGGCTGTTCAGGGTAACTGCATTCATGGGGCCTCGGACCACTTCCTTACTGCTTACCTTCTTGTGAATCTCTAATGGCGTGAAATTGATATATATGATGGCGCAGAAAGAAGGAAAAAGTAGAAAAGTTGTTAACAAAATAAAACACATACGCCAGTAATACCATGGTTCTGGGCCGCACAAATGGATAGAAGGCTATGATTAGAAATGTGCTAATAACTGGCACGTCCACCGTGATTTTCTATGCTATGTAATAATCAGCGCTCAAACCTTTCAAAAATGTGGCTCCACCACTGCTTGACAGTTGGTCGGAGGTGTTTGTGCTCATATATTGGGTTTGATATGGGTCGTCTGTCCAAAGCACATTGATCCAGAAAATGTGTGGTTTGTCCAGATGCAACAGAAGAGGCTTTCTTTTGATTACTATTCCAAACAAGACACACTTATTCACTCTTGTTCTAATTCTACTGTCATGAACTTTAACCTTTAGCATGCTAACTGAGGCCTGTAGTCTCAGAGGTAGCTTTTGGTCCTTTGTGGTTTCTCTTAGACTTGCATGATCTGATCTTGGGGTGAATTTGATGAGACCTATCCTCCTGGGATATCTGGTAACTGCCTTGAATTATTTCCACTGCACAATGATGGACTTTAAATTGTTTGTAAACGGGTTTATAGCCCTTCTCAGGAGTTGCTTCTCCAAAATGTCTTTCCTCCATGGCAGCTGAATGCTCCAGGCCTGCGAGCCTTTAATACAGGTGCTCACACTCGCCGATGATCAGCTGATAGCTGACAGCTGAAGTGCATTTGAGTAGCAACAACCTCTTAATTCTATAAAAGCAGTGCGGGTTAAGTTTTGTCAGTTCTGCTTATATTTACACTTTTGTCATATAATGCTATCATTGTTCTTCACTGGCTTTTGTTTACTGTGTCTTTTTTCTTCTAATTGGGATCATTTTCATCCTTTTTTATTGTATATTTAATGTATTCTTTTAGATTATTTAATCCCTTACCTTCCTGCTTTTCTTTTTCTTTATTTAATTTTTATTGTTTAGGTTTCTGTAAAACATTTGCCTGTGAAAAGCACGATATAAACAGATATCACTGGATTTCCTGCTGTTTCTGGAACATATTCTATATTGGAAAGAGGAACTGACCACAGGAGTGGAAGAATTGGTAAGAGTAAGGGTAACAGATGCATAATTTATAGTAAATATTCATAAAATGTAGGAAAAGGAAAGGAAAGGAGAAATGGTATTCATTTATATCAGGAATATAAAAACATATGAAGCATGTATAAAAATAAATAAATATATATATATATATTACCTGCTAGGACAGTGGTAAATGCTGCTTCTACATTTGTAGAATCCAAGGCTGAGGTTTCCAGGAATAAAAGGCCTTTCTTCTCTGTATTAATAATGATACAAACGTTCATGATTAAATTCACATCTGTGCTTATTTTATTTTTCACTTTTATCAAATTGTGTCTCCAGTTTTAACATTGGGGTGTTTGAAACGCGCTCTATAATAACATTGCATACTCTAGCTTTAATCAAACAACAGGAAATTAGAGCCACAAAGAATGATTGAACA